GAAGCCCTTGCTAGGCGGCGCCTCACCTTTTTCAGCCTAAAATTGGAAAGAACGCCCCAAGACCAATTGGTAGGGAACTTAATAAAACTAACCAAAGGCACAGGACTATCCCAAACTAACTCTACCTGATTATACAACAAAGATAAAGATAATACAAACACACTGCAACAAGTCGTGGAGAATAAATTATTTTGTATATGATGAATAAATTGAAGGTTTAATAGGAGCTTCTATTTGTCAACAAAATTAATGAAGTTATGCATATGGAACTAAGAATGCAAGGTAAGTAATAATGGTTGCTTAGATGTTAGTAATTTTTTGCCAAAACACAATTTATCATGAAGTGACTGTTTCAGCTCAAAACATATAAATTGTTTTACCTGTAATCTGAAAGATAAGGCTATTTTTCGTAATATTTATATTTAAATAATTTTTTATTTGTATTTGGCAGATTTAAAACACAATTTAAAACTCAATTTCTCAAAACTTACTTAATGTGGCATGTTACCTTATTACCAAAATATTTCTGAGTTTTTAATAGACAACGTCGATTTATGCATTCATCCGCAAAGAACTTGGCAAGCTCTTGGGTCAAGTCGAGTCGAATCTCTCCAACGGTTTCTAAAAATGTAAAGAATATTTGATTCTTAACTCGTGAAATAATAAAGTTTTCCTATTTTTCCGAGAAACTCTTGAATTTATTACTAACACAACACGGAGAAAATAGCTCTTACTACCAACTTAGCGCGCTGTTTAGGAACGTAGAAATTGAAAAGTTGAAATAACAGTACTTCAAAGTTTCGTTTCAGAGGCATTCTCGTTCGCGTCCTACTCTTATTGTGTTGGGAATCTTTGCTAGCTATCACAGGAATCGCGGGCGCACTCAATAGCTTGAAGAGGTTTTCTGGGACAAAACTTCGATTCGTAGTAACAACGGCTGGATTGTATTATCTCAGGAAGGTATTGCGTACACTTAAAATATTCTAATAATAAGATTTAAATTATGAATTATATACCGTTCAGTTCTCCGAGGAAATACTTCTCTAGAGAAAGTCCTTATCCTCTACCCCGCGCAGAGCTGGCCTAGCGTTTTTGCCGCAGCAGGTAAAACTCAAAAGCGCCTCGCCCCAAGCTTCAAAAACTTTAAATTAAAAGAAAACCGATTTTATGAATGAACATTATAACCAGAAAAATACGATCTAATCTAATTGAATTAGGAGACTAACATGATATTTACGATTTTTTCTTGTTTTACTAAGCTGGGTGTATTTGCTCCCCACGTGTCTTTTTTATATATGCTAGCCATTTTTTGATTTTTTCGTCACCCTGTTTTCAGCAGTTGCATACTTTTATGCTACAAAGCCTACAAAGGTATTCCAAACAAAATTTTGTTTGCATTTTTCTTGAAAATATTTTTTTTTTAACTTTCGGGTCCATTTAAATTCCAATAAATTTAATACAATCTAATTACGTTAATAAAAACACAAACTTTAGAACTAAAACTACCTAGTACAAATAATACCCTCAAAATAACAAACAATAAAGAATTAGATTAGATTAGATTTGAAAGAAGTTGTATATTATTTGTACGTGTCCACTGCGACCTTGACAGATCTATTGTGGGAGTTCGTTATTTAGAGTATATCGTCTAGCTTGATCTTTTTTTAATAAAAGTAGTAGCTTTGACAGGGACATGTGTCTTTTTAGGCGATAGTGTCCGGTAAGAAGACCTCCTGTTATCCTAACGATTTTTCGTTTTGGTCCTGTTGTCATTTCGCAAACTTGACCGACAGTTCAATAATAAACTCTTTAGCCTGTCTCAATCCTGGACACTTGTTCCACTATTTATGAGACTCCTTTTGCATTTATTGTGTGATGGATGCTTTAAAAGGGTTCGGGGCCTGTCATGACCTTCTTTGAGCCTTCCCGGGCTAATTCATCGGACTTTTTATTGCTTGGTAACCATGCTAGGTCACTTTGTTTTGACTACTTAGTTCTGATAGGTTTTCTAGGCAATTTTTCACCTGTCGTTATTTGATTTGTGATGAGAGAATCTCCTCAGACCTGCTTGGCTATCAAAGTAGATGGCAATAGTTTTGCCTGATACTTGCTGATTTTTTTTTGCACAGTGTTACATGACTATTAATACGGCCTAAAATACTGTTGCGTATTCTCTCATTGTTTTCGACTTAGCTCGAAATATTCCAGCACCGGCTCCTTTCTTGGTTTATCGTCTGTAAACCAGACGTATTCAGCCTGTTTGGGAGGTGCCTGTTTCCAGGATTCTCGGGCTAGTATCTTAATTTATAAATTTATTGCAAATTTGTATGTGGTTATAGCTATATCATTAAGCACTCCTAGAATCCTTTTTACTGTGGTTGGCTTATTGGGTTTTGTCCCTGCATTAGCCTGTGAATGACAGGCTTGGTTTCTGGTTTCTCGTTATATGAAGATGTGCAGTACCGTAAAGTTTAATAGTACCATTTCTGCATGGCGAGTCGCTGAATGCCGGTAAGTTACCGTATTGCACTTGCCTGCGCAGTTTGGTTACCCACGGCACTGCGCCTTCATGAGTCTTATTATCATCATTACGCCTCAGTTTTTTCCCTATATTCTTCTCTAGCTTATGGGAGCTATTGTAGCTTTGTATGCGAGATTTTGGAGATGTTGATTCCACGTCAGCCTTTAGTCAAATATGACTCCGAAGTATTTGGCTTCTGTGGCAAATGGAATAACCATGTTGTTTAGGTCTATTTGTCTTAGACCTACGAATACACGTTTTCTTTTTGTACGTTAATGTACTATGTTTAGTAATAAAGTATACTAGTACAGTATACAAAGTTTAAACATAAAATAATTTCTTTAGAACCTTTTTTCTGCAAAATCGCGAATAATTTCTTTGTGCTTGTTTCTTTCTATCATCGATCGTTAACCCAAAGCCGGCAGCTTGTAAAAACTTCACAATCATAGCATAATGGAGCCCGTGTAAGGAAAGATCCTTACGGCCTCTAAACAGTGAAGATGTGCATTTTGTGTAAAATATCTTTTGAAAACGCATCTTCAAGATCATATCATAAGTAAGTACAAAAATATAAGTTATCACTAGCAATGCATTATCCAGTAACTTTAAAACCCAATTAACTTCATCTTCATTAGCCTCTTATTAATTTCATAATAGGTTAACGGTTAATTACTTATTCATATAGAGATTATATGGCTTTATTTTAAAATAATATCTAGTAATTGTTATTTTTATTGTATACGTTTTTTAAGTAATATTTTCAAAAAACGAAATGTGCAGATAACAACGTCAAAGTTTATTAACAAAAAAAATATTTTCTCTTTAACAAATTGTTTGTAAGGTAATTTGTGCAGTTAAATGGATACTTTTATAAACATATTTTTATCAATGTACCAATATATTCCTCAATAGATCATCATCAAATATATCAAAGATATATATCCTTAATAATTAACCAATTCATATCAAAATAATAAAAAATGAAGAAATTTGAACTCTTCTGACCAAAGCTACACCATGACCTGAAATCAACCACCAATGAACGAACGAGCGAAGTAGCAAATCTTAGCAACATGACCAATCTGACATTTGTTTTGTCAGTAATGACAATGGTACACACTGGGCACGTTTAGCCTACGTAACAGTTGATTAAAACCGAAAACATGTTTCTGATGTGGTGGAAGTCAACAATTAAAAGTACCTGAACGGTATAAGTTGGTTCAGCGGTTAGACAATACAAATACACGTGGTGACCTCTAGTGATGATATAAATAAAATCATTTTCGGTTACAAATTAGGATCATGTAAAAATATACTAAGTCATAATCAGTCATAACGGACATTTTTTATCATGGTTTAACATTAGAATTTTAAAAACAACAAAAATCATGTTCAAATTTAAGAAATGTGTGGTTTTAATAACATATAATCAGCTTTATCCTCCTAGAGTGGTTAAAAATCAATAAAAAATACTAGAAATCTCTAAACTAAAAACTCACTCTTTAGTTTGCAAAACTGAGTACAATAATTCGTTTACAAAAGTCACCATAGAATTTTCCTGGTGCCGATGTTGAGCAACGGTTGAAACTAACCAAAACTCAACAAGTGACGTTCAGAAGACCCAACAAGTCACCATACTCGTTGCGTCGGCTAAACGCGCCCACTATCTCTAGTAGTCTTCATAGTACACACGTTAATATATCAATATTGGATTATTTATAATATCGGAGGTAAAATAGAGTACCTATGTAACTCTCATGTACTGACTTATTCACTATACATTGACATGATGCATACGAAACTCGCTTCCGACTTGTTTTATACTCATCTATTAATAGCTACTATTACAAGATTGTTAAATAATACAATAACCGCATTACCATTTTTTAAATGTCATGACAGTTGAAAGGTCTGTAAAATTGGAATTTATTCTGAATTGAAAAATATATTGCTGAATTATGTCAAGAGATGTCCTAAAATGTAGTTTAATAATATATATTTATAATGTTTTCTATCAGTGATTAATGGACTAAGTCCGAGGTCAATCACTGACACTTTTTTATTTCTAGTTTTGTTTATCAGTGAAGGTAGATTCATACTATAGGTCTGGTCACGGTCCGGTCGTGGTCAGATTTTTTTATGAACTATTCACACTGTTGCGGTCGCTCATCAGTCTTTTGTCATTTACAAACAAGCAATGTTTCCAAAGTTTTCAACAAGAGACCTGGTCATAATGGCTTGCATCCTAGATGAGGAAGAGAGAAGCCAACAGAAAAAGTTCAAAATATTCGCAGAAAGAAAGAGCGCGGTCAATTGACTAGATTGTTACCTGAGTATGTCTGGATTTGTCTGTAGTAGGTTTCCGAAAATACCTATTCTTTATTTAACAGCAATCGAAAACTCTCACAAACTGTGTTATATAGGGCATTTCAAAAATTCAACGTTTTTTAAGAAGCATGAATTAATTAAAAAAACTTACCTTCGAATACGACAAGCGTAGCTTCAGAACTGACAGCATCGCCTACCCCATTTTCTGCGACACATTCATAATTTGCATCGTCTCTTCCTGCTTTGACTGGTTCTATCCTAAGCAGAGAGGCACCATCAGGAAACTCTTTTACTTGATAACGAGTTTGCGAACCTAAGAAAAAAAAAACACTTTTGTAATAATCAGAAACAAGTAAATATTTGCGGGACGGTTAGAGCGAGGTCCCGCAACATTAAACTGCATTTCATAACGTGTTACATACAATATTTTTTCTAATTTTCACTAGATTATTTATACAATTGGGTTTTGGTAAAAAATTAATGACACCAATATTACTACTTTTTTGTATTGTTAATTGCATATGATTAACTTAATTCTTTTATTAATGAATAATATTAATTTATTCTCAACGACATGTTTTAATGTGTTGTTTATTAAATTTATTCAGATTTTAAGAAAGTAAGTTATTTTGTCGTGTATTGTGTTAAAATTTTGTGCTGATTTAGAATGGAAAATAAGTTCCAAAACAACATTATTAAGTTGTAAGTTTAACCAAATTATATTTGATAACGGGTACCTGGATATATCATCCACCTTAAGATTACTAGGATGTTCTTACTAACTCTTGGAATTGGGGCAAGTCATACTAAATGTCTATTTAACATAGAATTACTAGACTTCTTGTATCGACTCTTAGTAGCGTATATTTTCATTGATAAATTATTAAACTTGCGCTAGTTTTGGAATTTTGGTAAATCATTTATTTTTTACTATATTAATTGATTTGAAACCTCTAACCTTGGAGTCTTACAGACTATGTATTGGGAGAAGGTCCCTATAGATTTTATTTTTAAGTAGGGTTAATTAACCTAAAAATTATTAAGGTGAAAGGTGTACTCTTAAAGGACGGACCGTTCTATCTAAATTGGATGGTCTTATTTTAAATTAGATAGAAATGTTATACTTGTGATTATCTATTTTAAATCATAACAGTTTAAGAACGATATCTATGCGACTATTAACAGCAAATGCAGGTTGAGAACACACTGACAACTTTCAGAGTATCTTTGGCAAAGTTGCTCTATTCCCAGACTTTCGCTCCCTCCAATTTATTACTTATAAACTATAGATGATTTAAAATATAAAAAAAGGCCGATAAATTAATCGCAGGTCCGGTCTAACAAAGAGTATTTTTGTTTTGTTTCGTCATTTATAATATTTTTAAAAGTATAACCTGGTGTAACATTTTCGAAACTCTTTTTTCTTACTACATAATTGATTTAAGAATTATATTTTTAAATATACATATGTATTTCCTATGATTATTTCGGAAACATATCTAAAAAGTACCTATTTCTACATTTTCTTATATACAGGGTGTTTGTTGTTAAGTGTAAATTATTTTAGGGAATGTTTGCCGATGTTATTTTATAAAAAAGCAGATCGAAAAAGTCAGTGGCGCAGTATTTTTTTTTTTTATTAAAAAGTGGCATTCTCGCACAAACGCCACTGGTGCAAGTAGAAATATTTGGAACTCCTTAAAAAATACAAATTTGTCCCTTCAAAGTTTTTTTGCAATTTTAGTGTAAATATCTTTAAAACTATTTAAAATAACTAATAAAATTTAATTAATTAAAATTTAAACATTCTGTATCCCGGAAACGAAGCATATTTCGACCTACTTTTATAGGAACTTTTTTAACAAAATAACGTTGATAACAATTTGCATAAATCTTTCGTACTTATTTACAAATACCCTGTATAAAAATACGTTTTTTAAATATTAATCCATTTAATACTAGTTTATGCAACAACAATGGACAATACACTGGAGTTGTACAGTATATTTTTTCTACGACCCACTAACGAAAATCTACAAATTTAAAGTATTATTTTAGGAAAAGACAAAATAACTAATTTTAAAATAATTTATGACTTTACTAATTTGTGAAATAAAATAAACATGAAAAAATATTTCTTTTAATTAGTCCCCAGCCCAGATTTGAACTCGGGCCTCTCGCATGAAAGACAGATGCCGAATCCTCATTTTCGCTTCCAAATTTAGAATTTTAGTTCTAATAGTAGTAATTAAATTAGCTTCATATAGGTAGTTTGATTAAAATTTAAGATTTTTTAAAATGTGGTCCAACTAAAAATAAATTAAAATTATTTATGGATTCTACACAAAAATAACTCATTTTAATGTATACCTGAAAAATATACTGACAATTAATTTGACAGAATTGTCACTTATTTAAAATTTTAAAAATAATAGTAGTTGGGTGTCCAATACATAAACTGTCATTGGTGGATTTCATTTTTTTGCAGTGTTCTCAATACCTAGAATGGATATGAAATATATTTTTTGAGTTGAATGCAATAGTTTATTTTTTCGTTTTGTAGTCTGTGCGTGAATAGTAGTTTGTGCACAAAAATTGGATATGATGGCCATATCGCACGAAGACGAAGTTTGAGAACGACTCCGTAAAAGGAGTGCTTAATCGTCCAATTGCGATACGGACAATCCACTCGAATTGTACAGTATATTTTTTCTACGACACACTAACGAAATTCTACAAATTTAAAAAAGTATTTTATTAAGACAAAATAAATAATTTTAAAATAATGTATGACTTTTACTACTTTATAAAATAAAATAAACATACAAAAAGATTTAATTTAATTAGTCTTCCGCCCTGATTGGAACTCGGGCCTCTCGCTTGGAGACAAACTCCGTGTCCTCACGCCATCGCCACACTTGCCATTTTAGTTATTTTCATAATTTTTATAGAAATAATTAAAAAATTTGTTTTTCTGAATTCGGGCTCTACAGCGGGCTTCTCTATCATTTGATTAGTAGGTATACCAAATTTTATAAAAAAATATTTAAAACTGAGAAAGAGAACCTTGAAGTCGTTTTAAGCCAGTTTCTAACCATGGATATCGCTCTTAATATTTTACTAAATTTTGTTTTATTAATGTTATTATTTTCTTTTGCGACTATCATTTGTTGATTCAATTCACCCTTGTTAACCACTATTTATATTAAAGTAAATTTATTTGTTTTGCCATAATTAATTGTAATATTTTGTTTTTGATTAATTTGAATTTAATTTTGCTCATTAAATTTTATTAACTTTTTTTAAACGGTTCTTTATTTTACTAACATCTAGAATATTCCCAGAGTGACCCAAAACAAGAAAAACAATTTTTCACAGAATTTTTAAAGATCAGTAAGTGCGAGTATTATTGTTATTATATTATTGTTCAAAAATTTCTGGAGCTATTTTCCATGCTTCAAACATTTCTGGAGCTATTTTACATTTTTTTTTTTTAATTTCTTGGACCATTTTACATTTTTCTAATTAAGATTTTTATGCGAATTTTTCGGTTTACTTTATATTTTTACTTTCCTACCTGTATACAGATAGGGAAAGTATAGGAATCATTATTTTAATCGACCTCGAGTTTTTTTCGGATTTTTACGTTGTGGGGTCTCCTGAATACGTTTTGACTATTTTCGCGATAATGTCTGTGTGTGTGTGTGTGTCTGTAACCACGATAACTCATGAACAGATACAAAGAAAAACACTAAATTTACGGCATGATTAGATTTTAAGCAAAGTCGGAACATCTGGGGGGATACTTTATGGGGGTCATTTTAATATTTTATGAAATATATCTATTATTTACGTTTGGAAAAGAAAATTCTTTAAATAAAAGTTACTTTTTATATTATTCTCTATAATTTTTGTTTTTTATAAAACTTTCCTAAAATGGTCTGTATTCGAGAAATTTGACAAAATGTAAAAAAATCAAATTTTTATGAAAATTGTTTAAATAAAAGTTATTTCTAATGTAATATTCTATAATTTTTGTCCCTTATTTGTGAAAAAGTGTAAATTTTGAATTTTGAAAAAAACTCAAAAAGGGAGAAAGAAAAAAACCTTAAATTTTAAACTTATTCCTTATTCCGACCTGAGATGAACTAATTTGATTTTGGGCAGAGTCGGAACATCTGGCGGTACTTTATAGAGGGTCAATTTTATATTTTATGACATATATCTGTTATTTATGTTTGGAGAAGCAAATTCTTTAAATAAAAGTTACTTTTAATATTATTTTCTATAATTTTCTAATTTTTAATTTTCTTCAAAATTAGAATTTTTTTGAATTAAAAGATGTTTGCGATATCGATCTCTGTAATTTTTGTTTTTTGTATGAATTCTCTAAAATGGACCGTAATGGAAAAATTGGAGGAAAGGTTTAAAATTTAAATTTTTCAGCATTTTCGTTGGCAATGAGTGTATATAAATGTATAAATGTATAAAAATGTTTCGAGTTAGATGTATAAAGAAAATGTATTTATTAAGTTAACCTCTAAATATTTACAGAGGTGCTACAATAGGTTGTACAAAACAACTGAAAAAAGCCTGTAATAACTAGATAGGAAAGTTGTACACATCAGATTTTTTCAAACAATTATCCTCTTTTACATTATCAAAATTTCTGGTACTTATTGACATTTTTATCAAAATTTTTGGGAATGAATCACATCTTTGTATAATACATTTTTATTGGTTTCGGTCTGTTACAGTAGATTTCCTACCCGAGTGGAAAGTTTATATTCGAACCGAAGTTGAGTGCAACATTTTCTAGATTAAAAATTAGTTAATAAATCAACGTTTTACAGACGTTGGATTTTTAAGCATTAAAAATATATCCCAATTTTGGTTTTCTTCTGGCCACATAAATTTTGTACTGCAGCTAATGCTAAAACACGAAAAATAATAATCAATATAAATTCATGTCAGACACTGCTAAAATTTATAACTACGTAATTCCATTAAGATAATTTTAAGTTTTTACAGTTAGTAAAAGTTCCAACATTAACTAATGGAGTTGCAGCGAGCAAAATATGCCTAGAAAATAAATGCATGTATAGAGGTAATAATGTTAAATGGAAGTTGACACAATTTAGAATCTTTTTCCTTTTCATAATGACGTCGGTACATGAATGCTTCGACTTTTAATATTTTCTTAACGTTCAATTATTAACAGTCATATCGGGTAATTACATGTAAATGTAAGTAATTACACATAAGGCTAGTCGTATTTTTTATTTTTATCTC